CCTTGGGAAAAGTAACCAGCCTATATGCTACGTCTTCGTCTTCTCCGAAATAGAAGGAGGGGTCATCGTGGCCGTGTTTGGTTGGGGCAACGGTCAGTATAGGCATAGCAGTGATAGCACTAATGACCGAATGTTCTATCCAGGGGAAGAAGTCAGGGGCAGACGTCTCTGCAGCTCATTTTTAATAGTGATTTAGGGCAATTGCGTGGGAACGTAGGCTGCCGTCTTCACCCGAATAGAACGTCTCTGGTCTTTATTGCTGCATCGGGCCTGAAAGTGACCCCAAAATGCAGCTATAAAGCCCAGACGTACTCTTCCGGTGAAGACGGTAGGGCCAATGAGCGACTAGAGAGGACGTGTGAGGTGTGAGATTGGGAATGTAGCTTGCTACTACCTTCTTCCCCCGAATACAACGTACGGTCATTATAGCTGTATTTGGGCTGAATGACAGCCCAAATACAGCTATAATGACCGTACGTTGTATTCGGGGGAAGAAGGTAGGAATCACCGCGGGTCTGGTCCTCGGCAGGCCTACCGTCTTCCCCCGAACACAACGCAGCCTTATTTTGGCTGTATCTGGCCGGAAATATAGCTTCTATACATTCATTTTTAGGGAGCGTTATGTTCGGGGGAAGACGGTAGGGGGACCCCAAAGGGAAAGCCCTGGGGGCCAGTGCCGCGGTTCCGAGGTCAGGCCCCATTCAGTTTGTTCTTTTTGCCGCTTGAAGGGGGTGGGTGACCGACACTGCCCCACAGGCCAATATCAGCAGAGGGGACTTGAGAAACGGAGCACTCGGGGGGGAGGGGGGGGTTGTCGCGGAGAGGCTTGCGAAGTTGAGGAAGGGCTGGCCAATATCACCAGAGGGGACTTGAGAAACGGAGCAATCTGGGGGGGAGGGGGGATCGCGGAGACTGGGGGGGACTGGCGGTGGGGAATGTCTTCGTTGCTTATCTCTTGAAGGCGGTGGCCCCGCACGCTGATATGGGTGGGAGACTTGAGAGATCGAGCAGGCAGTGGCGTCGTTTTGGGGGCCAAGGTGGAGATTCTGAGGTTCATGGAGAGGCGCAGAGTTGGGGAAGGGCAGGTGTTACGCCAACACCTCGGAACCGACGGCTTCCTCCTCAGTTCACCTGGGGCAAGGTCCCACTTGCGCAAATTAGGAGATTTCGGCCGTTGATCTTCGCTATCTACGGTCAGCATCTCTTAATTCGTGCAAGTGGGACCTAGCCCCTGGAGCAGTGCACACTCAGGGCCAGAATCAGCTGCCTTATACTTGCAGAAAGAGTACACATGGAGTTTGTGCTGAAATGTGAAAATTCAGAAGAGGGTGGAAGCCAGAGAGGATAGGATCAGGGGTACTATCAACTTATTTAAGGTTATTTTCCACCTGTTCCTGAATTTGTATCTGTTTCCAGTCTTCATTCATTCTTCGTTTACAAAAATGTACAGAGATGGAGGTGAGCAGGGGGGGGTATAAGGTGTAGTTGTATTCTGGAATTATTTGTTGACGGGCCTCTCCTCCTTGTTCTGTTCGCCGCAGCGTACGTGTAGGGCAGGATTTGCCAATCTTTTTTTTTTTTTTTTTTTTTTTTCAAAAAAAATGAGAGAGGAAGACGAATCGCAAGGTGGTGGACATCGATCAAGTGGGGATAAGCTCCTGTGTGAGATGGATGACCAGTCTGCTAGATGGCTCCGGTTAATTCATGCGGAGCAACACGTGCTGAGAACCCGACCCAGTTTCCCGTGGCACTGTACGTATTGTTATCGGAAATAGGGGTATGTACATCGATTGTCATGGTGTTGAAGTTGTCAGTTGGATGGGGGAAGGAGGCCTCCTTGCCCCCTCCCTCTCTCCTCCCCCCTCCCCCCCCCCTCCCGCTCCCTTTCAGTAGGGTATATGTAGGGAGGGGTAGGGGGGAGGAGGAGTTATTTTATGTGTACAGACTCTACAGAGACCTATTTATAATTTTAAATTAT